ACAGCCAACCGGGGGGGAACCGGCCCAGTCGACCGGCCGGTAGGACCGGTCCGGTTCCAGTTGGGGGAGGACCCCCCGGCCCTACCGGATTTTTAGCACTGTGCTATGCAGAATAACAATGCAAACCAATTTTGCCTCAAGAGTCATGTCAGAATTCCTAACCAAACTTGAGTCACAAGTCAAAAACTATAAAAAAGCTTTAAAAAAGACTTAGAAAACTAATAAAAGGTAATGAATTATTAATAATTAAAAAATTGGGGTTGTCTAATAAATTATTATAGAGAGAGAGCATGTCCAGACCCCCCAAAAAAGCATAAACGGGCCTGAAAAACCCCCAAAACAATTTTGGGGGCTTGGCTCCTCAATGGGGAAGGGTCCTGGACCGTTTTTTTTTTGTTTTTTTTTTTCATCGAATTTTGGCAGATCCGGACCTTCCAGACCGGACGTCTGGAGTCCGGACTGAATCCGGACCGTCTGGACGGTGGTCCGGACGTCCGGATCGTAGCCATGGATATTTCCTGCCAAATCTCGCCCTCTGTACGCAGCATGGCCCAGATGAGTTGTCAGAGCTGTAGCGCAATTATTTGTAAATGCGGATTTAGCAACCCCAGTCCTCCAAAGTTTCCTCGGCCCTCACATTGTTTGACCAGAGATGCACATGAACTTCCTAATGTAGCGGAAGGTGTGTCTGCCCAACATATGTGCTGCTCTTGCATACCACAACATAGCCAGGAACGAGTTCTGAATCACTATGGCCTTTCCAAAGGGCCCCATGCTGCCTCTCGCAATCCATACTTGCAGCCGGGCCACTGCTGCCGTGTCTGTTCAAATCCCCCACAACTGTTCAAAATCCCCCACAACTTGGTGTCAAGTTGGCCTCCAAGAAGGCCATCCTTTCTCCTTCAATTATGGTCGGTATATCCTATCCCTCCTGGGGATCCACTTCAAGCGGGAGGATGGCCTTAGACTTTTGCCAGTTGACACATGCACCCGAGTACCCTCAGAAGAGCGCCAGGTCTTCTTAAGGATTTTCAGCTGCTGGGCTGTCGGGGCAATCACTGCCCCAGGTTATCCGCAAAGGTTGTGGACTGCAGTTCTGCAGTTGGTCCCGCCTTGAGGCTGATCAGATGAACATCGGCCCTCAATATTCCATGCATTGATTCTATGTAAAAGGACACCCCTGCCTCGCTGATCGGGTAACTAGCAGGTTATCAGATCTCACCCCATTAACTTGCATCACAGTTGAAGCCCCGGCCAGCAGACAACGGACCCAGCTGCAGAGGATAGGTCCAATTCCCCTCGTTGCCATTCCCTGCAGCAAGAACTCCCATCCAACCCGATCATAGGCCTTCTCAAGGTCTATTGATACGAAGGCCATAGCCTGGCCTCTACACTGCTCCTCCAATATCTGCTGAGCCAGCAGCACGCTTGATAAGATCTGGCGGCCCGCCATAAACCCCGTTTCGGTAGAATCGATGATACGCGGCAGGACTTCATGCGATTTGCCAATACTTTGGCAAGTACCTTACATAGAGCGTTCAGGATTGAGATCGGGCGCCAATTGTGAACATCCTCCTTTCCCTTCTTGTACAACAGGACCGCATACGCATCCGCAAAGCGTTGTGGGAGGGATCCCTGTTTAAGCGCTTCATTGTAGGCTGCCATCAGCAGGATGGTAAAAAAGTTGCAAAATTCTTTGTACAGTTCCACCGGCATTCTGTCCATGCCAGGCCCCTTAAGCCTAGGGAGTCTGTGATCGCTCTCGCCACCTTGTTAGCAGTGATGTTCTCCTCCAACTTACATGTGTCTGCAAGGTTAAGCTGCCACTGGATGTCTCCAAATGTCTCGTCCTGGTTCCCTGGCCATGTCCCCAGGGGCCCACTGTTCCTTGTAGAAGTCATTTACGCATTTTAGAATTCCCTGCACGGTGCGCTGCCGCACAGCCTGACNGTCCCCAGGGGCCCACTGTTCCTTGTAGAAGTCATTTACGCATTTTAGAATTCCCTGCACGGTGCGCTGCCGCACAGCCTGACCATCGAAAGGATGGTCCATAGCTGTCATTATCGGTGTTGCCTTTCGTGCAGCCACCATAGCACAGAATTGACGCAACATTCATTCCCCCAGCAAATCCATGTCTTCTTTATGCGTCTCCCCCATTTAATTGCTTCGTATGCCTGCCACCCCTTCCATCCTCGAGCTGCTTTCACTCGTTCTACCCACCATTCCTCTTCCATTTGGTCCCCCACGGGGCCCTGATTCAGATCCCCCATCCTTTGGGCATACTCCTCTCCCGTTCTCTTATGCGCCAGGTAGTTGCCGCACAGCTGCTTCTACAAATCCCCCCTCAGTCCCTGTAAGGCTGTCATAACATGCTTCAGCAGGTTTTCCTGCGGACACTCTTCCACTCACCCTCCCAGAAACTTATCACCGCCGGCCTGAACTCCTCACTTTTGAATACCCATGCTGGCATAGCCTTTGGCAGGCGGACGATCTCTAGTCAGCCCACTGGGAACGTTGCTGTCATGGCTGCGTGGTCCGATGTAGCCATTCCGCTAATCTTGCATGGGTCCTGGGGACCATCTCACGCAAGTGTGTACATGCCATGCATCGTACTCCCACACACAATGAACAGTAGTCTGACAATAGACAAAGATAGAGAAGATGAGGACCGAGTTTCACAGTTTATATTATCAGAAATATGAATACAAAGTGTTTCAAAGTTCCCCTGAGTCCAGCGCTCATCAGCGCAACACCAATATCTTGCCAACTCATCAATATGCCTTCCAGTGAATCAGTGCTACCCCTGCAGATAGTCTCCAAGTCATCAATGTGGTCACCACTCATCAGCGCCACCTCTGCAGGTCACATCCAACTCAGGTAAGTATCTTCCATCGCCAACCTTGAAGTGTACTAGATGGGGACTTCCTTCCTCTTCAGTTTCTGCCAGTGGAGCCTTCGACTGGGAGGATTCTGATTTTTCAACAGTCGAAGCTCCGGTAGAGGCAACTGACACCTTTACTGGCTGTTCCTTTTTGCCCCCTTATAATCAGGGCAATAGGGGACAATGTGGTCGGGGTCCCCACATTTGAGGCATTGAACTGCCTTCTTTCTTTCGGCCCAAACTTTCTCTGTGATTCCCAATTCTTTCCGAGGTTCTCCTTCCGGCAAGCCTGGATGAGGTGGGTATGGCTTATCCCACTTGTTGTACCATAAGCCTCTTCCTCTACCCCAGGTGGAGTAAGAACCACGGCCACCGTATGAGGGACCATTTCCCCTTCCTCCCATGTAGTGGCTTCCTTCACCACCACCCCTCTGGGTGCCGAATCCTCGTCCACCACGGCCGCGACCTCTTCCTCGGCCACGCCCTCTTCCTTGACGCCCTCCCCCGCAGGCTGCAACAGCCGCGTAACTCCCCTCCTGAGCTACCGGTCTGTTGGGTTCATCGAGACCGTAATCTATTTGGTCCCAAAAAAGTGATTCGACACCTCCTTCTTCAAAGGTCAGAAGGAGGTCGTCTTTCCCAGGTGTTGATCCTGAGATGGTGCGGTTTTGCCATCTTTTGCCCGCTTGCAGATCTTTCCAATAGTGGCAATAGTTGGCTTCAGCCAGAAATCCTGCATGATCTAATGCAATCTTACTAAATTTTTCATAGGTCATCCCCTCCTCTTTAGTGCGGGGATATAACTGAGTTCGGACGGGATCAGGTAAGGCGCGAGCA